TGCATCCTGTCAAGTGCAATACATACCAATACTTATATTCTCTGTCTGCTACCACTTAACTAATTGTCCATCTTGAAATCAAAGTCTTGAAGTTACACTGCCACAATAGGGAAGAGAGTGTGAGGGCAGCCTGGGAAGGTAAGTTTTATCTATAAAAGTCTTACCTCGCGTGCTGCGGCCTTCAGTTGTTCCGCGGAGGAGGAGTCCCAGAGCGGGTGCGAGTGGTTGGCTTGGTAACGGTTATCTTTCACCCAATAAATATGGTAGATAACTAAAGTCACCTAGACACCTAATCCTCTGGGAGCGGTTAGGAAGGCAAAGCTGGAGTCTGTTTGAGTATATAACGGAGTAAACTTACTGGTGCAGAGAACACTTAAAGAGAGAACACTGCGAAACTAAAAAAAAACTAATTAATTTTAAAAAATTAACTAAGAGATGGCAGGTCAGGTGATGTGTTGTAGCTGTATGATGTGGGAGCTAGCTGATCCCATTGAGAACAGCAGTGACCACATCTGCAGCAAGTGTTGGCTGCTTGAGGAGCTCCGGCTCAAAATTGATGAGCTGGAATCCGAACTCCAAACGCTGCGGTACATCCAGGAGGGGGAGAGATACCTGGATGCTGTGTTCCAGGAGGCAGTCACATCTGGTAGATTAACTAATGTTAATTCGATTGGTGGGCAGGGACAGCAGTGTGTGACTGTGAGTGAGGCAGGTAGAGGGACCCTGCAGATAGGACCACAGGAGTCACAGCCCTTGACATTGTCCCACAGGTATGAGGCACTTGCTCCCTGCATGGATGAGGAACAGGGCTGCAGGAAGGATGAGTCAACTGACCATGGCACCATGGTCCAGGAGGCCATTCAGTGCTGGGCAAGCTAATGGGGCTAAAGGTAGACAAGTCTCCTGGCCCTGATGAAATACATCCCAGGGTACTAAAAGAGGTGATGGGGGAAATAGCAAATGCACTAGTAATTATTTACCAAAATTCACTGGACTCTGGGGTGGTTCCCGCAGATTGGAAAACAGCCAATGTGACGCCACTGTTTAAAAAAGGAAGCAGACAAAAAGCAGGTAACTATAGGCCAGTCAGCTTAACTTCGGTAGTGGGGAAAATGCTTGAATCTATCATTAAGGAAGAAGTAGCAAGACATCTGGATATAAATTGTCCCATTGGGAACACCCAGCATGGGTTCATGAAGGGTAGGTCATGTTTAACTAATTTGGTGGAATTCTTTGAGGACATTACTTGCATGTTGGACAATGGGGAACCTGTGGATGTGGTGTATCTGGATTTCCAGAAGGCATTTGACAAGGTGCCACACCAAAGGCTGCTACATAAGATAAAGTTGCACGGTATTACAGGTAATGTATTGGTATGGAGAGAGGATTGGGTGACCAGTAGAAAGCAAAGAGTAGGGGTAAATGGGTGTTTTTCTGGTTGGTGGTCAGTGGCTAGTGGTGTGCCTCCGGGATCAGTGTTGGGACCTAAATTGTTTACAATTTACATAGATGATTTGGAGTTGGGGACTAAGTGTGGTGTGTCAAAATTTGCAGATGACACTAAGATGAGTGGTAGAGCAAAATGTGCAGAAGACACTGAAAGTCTGCAGAGGAATATAGATAGTCTAAGTGAGTGGGCAAAGGTCTGGCAGATGGAGTACAATGTTGATAAGTGAGGTCATCCATTTTGGTAGGAATAACAGCAAAATGGACTATGTTTTAAATGGTAAAAAATTGCAGCATGCTGCTGTGCAGAGGGACTTGGGTGTCCTTGTGCATGAATCGCTAAAAGTAGGATTGCAGGTGCAGCGGGTAATTAAAAAGGCAAATAGAATTTTGTCTGTCATTGCGAGAGGGATAGAGTTTAAAAACAGGGAGTCTATGCTGCAGCTGTATAGGGTTCTGGTGAGGCCACACCTGGAGTACTGTGTGCAGTTTTGGTCTCCTTACTTGAGAAGAGATATACTAGCACTGGAGGAGGTGCAGAGGAGATTCACTCGGTTGATTCCAGAGTTGAGAGGGTTGGATTATGAGGAGAGACTGAGTAGGCTGGGATTATACTCATTGGAATTCAGAAGAATGAGGGGAGATCTTATAGAAAAATATAAGATTATGAAGGGGATAAGGTGGAGGCAGGGAGGTCGTTTCAAACTAGCAGGTGAAACTAAGGCTAGGAGGCATCGCTTCAAAATAAAGGGAAGCAGATGTAGGACTGAGGTCAGGAGGAACTTCTTCACCCAAAGGGTTGTGAATCTGTGGAATTCCCTGCCCAGTGAAGCGGTTGAAGCTGCCTCGCTGAATGTGTTTAAGACAAAGCTAAATAAATTTTTGAACAGTAAAGGAATTAAGGGATATGATGTGAGGGTGGGTAAGTGGAGTTAAGCCTCAAAAAGATCAGCCATGATCTTATTAAATGGCGGGGCAGGCTCAAGGGGCTGGATGGCCTACTCCTGCTCCTAGTTCTTATGTTCTTATATCTACGTTGTTGCTTTTGCAGAGGTGTTAACTTGTTAATATAACACAGCAAGTAATTTAAATAGTTGGATGTTATTATGCTGCGGCATGTTCTCTAGATTTTGAAGAAAAACAAACATTTTGCGCTCAAAAAATTGAACAGCTTTTGTCATTGTTTGAATGCTGCTGAGATATTGCATGTGAAATTTCCACAATTTAGCTTGATTATAGAAATTATACAACAAGGGATTAGTAAGAATTAAGTACTTAATGTTCGTGCTATTTGCAATTTTTAAAAAAGCCTAGAATTTCTTTCTTCTTGTACCATTGTAATCATCAGGTCCTGATTTAAAGTATACGACTCCTAGGAATGTAGGATGTCAGTGACATCAACTATCATTTCTGTAATGCACTAATCTCTTGTACCTTTGTACTTCACTCCTATTTGCCTCATTGCACTATTTACATAGATAATTATCATGGTCCTGCATCTTTATAAAAATCAATGGCATTGTTGAGTTTGCTAGCTAAAACCATTGAAAATTTGAGCATATAAATTGGGAGCAGGAGTAAGTTATTTGGCCCTTAAAACAGACCCACCATTCAATAAGATCATGGTTGTTCTGATTGAGACCTCAATTCTACACTCCTATTTTCCCCCTGACAATCTTTTTGACCCATTTGAGTGGCATCATACCCAGACCCACCCCTGCATTTCCCACCCTAGACAATATGGGCAATTTAGCATGGCCAATCCACCTAACCTGCGCATCTTTGGACTGTGGGAGGAAACCAGAGCACCCAGAGGAAACCCACACAGAATGGGCAGATAGTTGCCCAAAGCTGGAATTGAACCCAGGTCCCCGGTGCTGTGAGGTAATGGTGCTAACTGTTGAGCCACCATGCCACCCTGACTAGAAGTGACAAGTTTAGAGATGGGAAGGACACTTAATTAGGTGGAATGTGATGCATCATACCCTGCCACTTTCTCGTCTTCATCGGGATTAAGTTTGGGGCAGGAAGTTTGACTTCCTGCTTTACCACTTCTGAGGCCCTTTAGTGACTAATGAAGTACTATTTAAGGGCCTCAGAGTACTCCCCCTAAAAGCATGCCTATCGTCACATGGCATGCGAGGCAGGTTAACCTCTCTGGGCATCTCATCAACTGCAGCGAGGGGGGTCCCTCAACCAAAAACAATTAGTGCTTGATTGAAAGACTGGATATATGAGGAGTGTTTGCCCACTGAGAGCCATCAGCCATGGTCGTGGGGAGCTACGGGGAACAGATTGACCATTATGGTGGCCAGCGAGGGAGCAAGGTTATCAAGTAGGCATAAAATGAGGGATCAGGACTGAAGAGAAAAAGAAGTAAGAGCTGAGTGTGGCTCTGGTTGACAAGGAGGAGGGTGAAGGCTTCTCTGAGAAACTGGGGGTTCACTTCTAGTCCTCCTTGCCACAAAGTGTCCTGAAAAGGATACTTACTTTGAGGACTGAAGCTGCCCACTCCCTTTTTCTGCTGAATTACTTCAACTTTTAGACACCACCACAGTAGCTTGAATTTTAAATTGAACCTCGGTTTATGCTGTGAAAGCCAAATGTGTTCATCAAATATTCTATAAAAAAAAACAAAAGAACTGCAGAAGCTGTGAATCAGGAACAAAAACAGAAATTGCTGGAAAAGCTGAGCAGGTCCGGCAGTATCTGTGAAGAAAAAAATCAGAGTTAATGTTTCGGGTCTGGTGACCTTTCCTCAGAATATCAAATATTCTACGTCTTCATAAAATGGCAAATTTTTATGGTGTAGAATGCAACATTACTACATTTAAAAGGCATCTGAATGGGTACATGAATAGGAAGGGTTTAGAGGTATATGGGCCAAATGCTGGAAAATGGGACTAGATTAATTTAGGATATCTGGATGGCATGGGCAAGTTGAACTGAAGGGTCTGTTTCTGTGCTGTACATCTGTATGACTGTATGACACTGCCTGAGTAAATAGTCAAAGCAAGTTCAGATTGAAAATTACAAAGTGCTCTTGCAGCACTGTCAGATAGAGCAGCGACCTGGGAACAGCTTTTTAAAAGAGATGACACATGCACAATAAACCATTTGGCATTAGTCTCTGGTGTATGGTTTTATAATTCTGTAATGGAAAATAGTTTTTTGGATAGGATATCACAAGCTGCTGTGTTCATGGCACTGTAACCCAGCAACAGCTGCTGGGCAGTAGGATGCAAGGAATTTTAACTGCCATCATCTTTAATACTAATGCTTAAAAATGTATGTTCCTCTTTTTTTGTCAGTGAGAGGAGAATCCAATGACTCAAATAGACATGACTATATCTTTTAAAATGATAAAAATAGTTATCAAAGGGTTTAATGATTAAATTAGTCCTTTGGTTTGGAGGCCAGCGGCATGAACTCAGTGGCTTCCTGATAATTTCAAAAGAAGATCTTCGATTTACTTTAAATAATTGTTCTTTTTGTTAATAGCTACAGTAAATCTCATTTGTCCAGATCTTATTTGTTGTATTTTTCTCTTTTAGGTTTCAGAGTTCACTACTGGAGCTGTTGAACTTGAATAATATCATTAAGCTAAGTGCCAGTGATATGCAGCTTATAAGTCAAAGTTTTGGAAATTTTAGTGATGCAAATTTTTTTGAGACTGCCCAAGGAATACAGATTGTAGCAAAAGTCATTTTAGAGAATGTACCTCTGTGGATGAACAAGTATGCCAGCGCAACAAATGGAACATCTTCGATAATTCCTGCATTACTTCAACTTACTCAAACAAGTAGTGTCACTTCATTAATTTACAAACTAAAGTTTTTCATGAATCAGTGGTCAAAAGGACAGTCACCACAGTTTAGGGAAGTACTGAATGTTTTGCTTAGCGTGTTACAAAAGGAATTACCAAATCTGCTGATCATCAACCCCTTTAAAAGTACAGTTGACAGATTTAATGCCATGTGGTCCAGTCTGCAACAGCTTTTTAATCCTCAAACTTCTGAAAATCTAACACACAGTCTAAATTCCTTCTGGAATTTGACATCTACAATATGGATAAGATCAACCCAAGGCAACATGGATTATGTTGACACGGCTAAAATATTTCTGTATTATTTGAATAATCTTGGTTTACTGTCTCAAGAACAACTTTCTTCAGTGGAGGATGCCCTCAATGGCTTAAAAAATGCTTCAGTAATTGATTCTTCTGCTCAATCTTTTTCTCAGCTGAAAGATATGGAGCTGCCATTGTTCAAGCTGTTGCAAATGATTAATACAGAAAATAAAACAGAGCTTTTGGAGACAGCTTTTAATATACTTCATGCAGTCTCACAATTATCAAATGTGACTGAGCTCTCATCATTGGTAACTGCTGTCAATAATATTTCTGAAGACATTTCCAGTTTTTTTGAACAATATAGCTCCAATGACATTAGTGAGGCCTTTAATGCAATTTCAAATATTGTGTCTGTTTTCCACAATATGTCAAAGGATGACTTTGCTGAAAATTTATTGAATCTATATCTCTACATGCAATCACAGATACAAGCACAGGGAAGAGTCACAGGATCAGAACTGCAACAGATAAATGAGACAATTGTAAGACTCGCAGAAGCTTTCCATAATAATACAAACAATATTAGTTGTTTGTTGTTGCAGGCATTGCAGTCTTCATCCATCCCTATTTCTGATATTTGGTTGAGTAAATATTGTTCCATACATAACACTGGAAGAAAAATCCGTTCAGTAGAGGCTGCTTCTAATTCACAATCCAGTCAGAATCCATACAGAGCCTTGGTGGAACAAATTATCTACAGTCTAATGGATAAAAATCAAGAAATATCATCCTCATTGTCGTGCACAGCAGATTTGTTTCTGTCATGGACTGAAATTATAAAAGAGATAGCAGTACAGTTGAACTTGGATATTCAAGTAGCTAACTTCTTTCATAGTGGCTTGAAAGAAGTGTCGCAAGAACTGAATAAAACATCAGTATGTACTAGACATTTGATCATGGATAACAGGACAGCTGCATTGAAAGTCTTACTGAAGAACATTACAGTAGCAAATGGCTTTAATCTTCAGAATTTGTACCAATTAAGCACTGATCGCTTCATCATCTTACATCATGTAGTGAATACATTTCTTATTCCAATTGATAACAAAATGCTTCAACAACTCATCACGATTGTGGACAACGTGTTTAGTTTATTTCAGGATTCCAACCTTGATAACTTGAATAACTTCTCTAAAATCATAGATGCCCTTCGCCCTATGTGGTCATTGTATGACCCTCAACATGAAAAACTCTATTCAATCCTGCGAACATTTGCATACTTAAACTCCAATGCTGATCTGGAAAGTATTAAAGTGGTCTTCAGGGAGATTCTTTTATTCTATAATAACAGCTTTAACATGGCCAATCTTGATCATTCTGTGCAATATATGAAAGAATTCTTGGATTTAGTGGCAACGACTGAGAATAATGGAGGCCAGTTTCCATACAAAACATTGGTGGTATTAATTAAACAACTAATCCATTCTGAAAATCCACATACAGGGGAAAAGGAATGGGGAAAATTGCTACAGTGGCTATATGTGCTGACGCATACCAATTTTTCTGATCCATCACTCTCATTTCTGACACACGTAAGCAACATTCCAATCTTTGGAATGAACATATCTGAAATAGACAAAGTTATGAGAAAAACTGAGGAAGCAATTTTCAAAGTTCGAAACCTGACAGAACAGTTCCATGGCATAAATGCATCTATTGCTTATTACTATGAAGTTATTGAATTGTTGGAAATGATTTGTCCTGATTCTGGTTCTTACAAAATCAAAAGCATTCAAACTCTGAAGATGTCCATTCAATTGGCTTACAATATTTTTAATGATGAAAACATGTCATATGACTTAATGGAACAGTTAATGAAGCACTTGGAAAACATGGCCAATGACAATGCAACTGCAAAAGAGCTGTTTGGCCATTTCAGTAAACTGGTCAGTGGAAATGTTAACATAAGCCAGTGGTATTCTGTAGATTCGGCCAAACTCCTTTCTCGACAAATTCAAGCACTAACTGTCATTTTAACTTCAAATCAGAACATTCAGCAATTTTCGCTACTTCTTCACAAATTACTGCTTCAAATGAATCAAAGTGCTTTTATAAATTTGAGGCCAGAGAAAATTTCAAATGTGTTGTTTGGCACCTTGGATATAATTCTTCATTTCAATAAGAGAACAGCTTACAATTTGTCTGTGACTGAGGCCATGAGTACTTTACTTAGCAAAGCTACAGGTTTTAGTTGCCTGAGTTCAAATAAATGTTCAGAACAGGACATGAACATTCAGAACATCAGGTTGAGACAACTGTTTTCTCAAATTGTACAGTTTGCAGAAGAATTAGATGAATTTCATAAATCAAAATGTAAGCCTCATCTAATAATGATAGAGTCAAGTGAATCATTTCATTTGCTAATTGAATATATTAACAACATAACATTCAACAACAACTCAATTGTAGAAGAACAACTGAATGCATTTATAAATGGTTTGGAGGGACTTCCACTGTCAGAGATTGAATGTGCGATAGATGTTATGAACTTTTCCAGTGCTTTTCTGAAGACATTACAGCAAATTGGGAACAGTGGTGGAACCAGTGGCATTGAACAATTCTTAGAGTTTGCACAATCAGCCTCTCGTCTTTTTCACATTGTGTCGGAAACAATAAAAGTTCGCAATGACACAAAAGCAGCTGTGCACGCTCTAATTTTATTGAAGAATGAAAGTTCAAATTTAGCAACAGTGTTGAAAAGTCCCAATTACACTTCTGTCGTGAAAGTGCTCAAAATGATTGATGATCTAACTGAGCATTTCAAACTGGAGACAAATCCAGGTGGTTACTTTCAGCAGTTGCTATTGTACTTAGACGCATTTTCTAAGGCGCTTGAGCTGATTGAGATACCTCAGGAAACAACAGAAGAGCTTAAAGGTTTTGGTGAAGTACTACGATTCTTTCTTCCATTTCTAAACAGAAGCCACACCCAAGACTTGGAAACTGACTCTGTACTCAACATTACATTCTTTGTTTTGCAACATGTAAACTCAATAACTGCAATTCACAATGAACTGCAATTGTTGAAAACAGATCTTCAGAACTTGCTTAATGCCACAGTCCACAGTGGCTCAAGTAACAAACAAGCTGTGTACAGCCTAAATGAACTCATAGCCTTTGTTGGAAATGTCACATTAACTTATAACTCAAGACATGATAATGGCACTTTGCAGGATCCACTTCAGCTTGATGCAATAATTGAAACTGCACAACTTTTAAGAGAATATGTGAAATTTTTGAATAAGGTATCATTACCATCTATGTCTGCCAGTGATGGTGCTGAAATGTTCATCCAATTACTTCGTAACAGCCTAATGAGAATCAAGTCCGTTGAACCAACTGAGTTGTTTGTTGTCCCTTGGACTTCTCTTTTCAATGATAAACTTATACACAGGATGTTTTCCATACTACTGGGTGATCTTGTTCAGCATTTCACAAATTTTCATCAAGGTCAAATCAACTTGACAGAAAATATGGCCTATATAATTTACAATCTTACAACCAGCCTGACATCAATCAAAGATGTATATTCCATAAATGCCCACTTGGAGCAAATGAACAGTGACCTTGCAAGGTTCTTTAAAGAACTGAATGGCAGTGGGGATTCACATGCCATGTTAACTATTTTGACAAAAGTGACTAAGGTTTTAAAACATGTGCCAGATTTTCAAAACATGACTGAGATTCTACGCTCCTTCAAGGTAATTTTATCGGAGGTTGGAAATGAACATTTTCCACAAACTCTAATTCAAGATGGAATTACCCTAGTAAAGAGTCTTTCCACCATGAATGTGAGTCAAGCATTGAATGCACTTTACTTGTTTGGACTAGCTCATCAGACAATGGGATTAGAGTTCAGTCAAGGAAATCAGACTGGAAACTACACTCAACTTAATGAGAAGATTATTAGACTGTTGCAGGCGATTTCTAACATTGCTAATTCCTCACAGTTATCACAGTGTTTGCCCATAGCTGTTTGCAAGCTGCTATCAGAAGAAACAGCCGATGATGATGATGGTCTCTTTTTAAAAGCTTGTGACTTCAAGGCAAATCAAAGTCTTAGTACTGTTTTTAATCTGGCAGTTGATATTAAGCAGCTCTTTGCAGGAGTTGTCCAAGGGGCTGCAAAAGTGGAATGCTCAGGAAGTACAGTTTTCAAAAAAATCATCCAGCAAACAGGGTGTGCAATTCAACAATATGAAGAATGGAATGCATTTTTGCTCCAGATATCCCGGCTATGTGGTTTGAAGTCTCCAGTGCTAACAAAACTGCAAGAAATTTGGAATAACGTTTCATATGTCATAGCTTCCACCAAAGAGGACAACCGAAATTGTCCTATTGTCCCAATAAGAGAAAAATCTGAGAAGCTGATTGGCCTGTTTCGGAATATGACTTTAACAAGCACTATTTCTGCTGAACAAACCATTAATTTCCTCTCTGATGTAAGTGACACAATACTTTTGCTGAGTGGCAACAATTCAGAAACTGCACACAGCACTCTGAAAATTTTCGCTAATTATTTAAGAAATGCAACCAAAAACGTATTGTCACCTTCAGATTCAAAGAACCATATCTCCACACTGATCTCTGCTGTGCAGTTATTACTTTCAACAACAGGTCATAAGAATGAATCCCTGTATTCAGTGTTAGATGATTTAATGGGTGTACTTAATAATAATGCCATTAATGTTTTGTCAACAGATATTGATAAAATATTAAATGACATAACAAAGAATCCTAAAATTGAAGATCTACTGCCAGCTGTAAAGAATGTGATTAGTTTGTTGAGAAATATAACAACAGGTGGTTTCACTGAGCTTAACGCATTGCAATTTTACAAAATATCAAATGATTTGGAGAAAGTTCTGGAAATAATGCCATATATATCCAACTTCACAGATGAAAACTATTACAAAATACTGAATGTTATTGGTCATTTGCTAAAAAACCAAAATCTTCCAGAAATAGTTAATACAACACTCAACCAAATTGTAAAATCTGCCGGTATAATGAGCAATGTTTCACAGCTGCTAATGGAACAAATGGACTCAGCAGCATCTGTTCTGGAGGTTTATCAAAAGTTGTTCCCCCACATCACAGCCATAATTTCGAATGAACACCTCTACCAAAGCTCTAAGGCATTACAACTTTTAAATGATTTGATAGTTGAAGTTTACTCACATTGGGATCGTTCACCTGAATTCAATCAAACATTGGTAAACAAGGCCATCCAGGTCTTAAATGAGTTACTACCAGAAAACAAACAGGCAACTATAAATTTTGTGCATATCATCAATAATGCGTTCTTGGAGTTCCAAGAGATTGACACTAATGGAAATCTTAACTCAACTGAAATCTTAAATGTGACACTGAACTTGATGAACATGCTTGAAGAGTTGTTTGAGGTAATGCCAGTATTCGGTCCTACTTGGAAGATTGTAGCTGATATTCCTAAATTTACTAAACTGCTTCTGGAGTTCAAGGAAACAGGCAATTACACAAGGTAAATGAAATTATATCTGTTCAGTTTCATTTTGTAAAGTACAATTAAAGTTCTTATTTTAGTGTTTTTTGGTATGATTTTCATTGATTAATTCAACAGTGGAGGGGGATAGTAAAGCTTATGTTGAAGTTCCATGTTTTGCTAACTGAAAATTAGCACTTCCATAACACACAATTTGGGAGTTGAAATTGATGATATGTTTCTTATAATTTTTATGCAATACATATTTATAGTCATATTTTTATTAATTTCACCTCAGCTGTTGACTTAGAAAACAGATCCAAGTGTTAGAAGTCAATCATCTAATTATAAAAGACAAATCTTGTCTTCCTAATGTTATTAACCGTGAATTCCTCAGTGCTCTGTTACATTCACTGACCATTTTAGGAACCTTTGCATGAACTCAGTTCAATAAATCTTCCTTTTTGTTATTTCTGTTTCACTAAAGTGTCGGTTGTCTGAACAATTATCCATTATGATAAAATCCATCTGCAGGGCTGTAGACTGTGTTGTTACTAAGGGCAAAACATAGACCTGTATTGATTGTTTGACCAAGTCCGTTAAATTTGACTGCAAAGCATCCAAATATTTGGTGTTCGTGATTAGATTAAAATGACATTTGCAATGTGCACACACACTTTTTTGATCAAGGTGCATTAAATATCACATTGGGTTGCAGCGCTGTGAGTGTGTGCCAGCAGCATGCAGAGTAGGCAGATCATGCCACTCGTCAGTGTGTAACACTGATGCATCTCTAATATTGCCACCTGAATGGTTCATCTAACACCCCTCTTAACATATTATGTTGAACATACTAATGCTCACTCCACTTGCTCCCATTCCTGGATGCTATCACAATGAAGTAAAATCTACACTGAAATCAAGTCTAGAATCTAGCACCTCTTACAAGTAGATCTGTAGCCTCAGAGCAGGGAGAAGCTGGCATTACCAATTGCTGTAAAAGTGGCCATCACCGTGAACTTTGCATCGGGCTTCTTACAGCTAGGGCCAGGGAAATGTGAGATTTTGGAGCTGTTACGAGCTGTTATAGAAGAGAGACTGCTTTTACTCTGTATTCGAAAAGACCTGGAAATGTTGTATTTTCCCTTTTCTGGGAGAAGCAGGCAAGTCAGCATGCAGCATCAGCTGAGTAGCAGTCTTCCATGTGCAGAATGCCACTGTCTGGGCATATATGACTTTGTGGTGCTGCATGTAAATTCAGAGATCTATACAATCACAATGACCCCCAACCTGCCAATGTCCAGCAGGCATTTAACCAAACCTAATGTGCAGGTCTGGTACCCTGGCAGTGGTAATAATGTCCTTATTTTGTGTCAGTCCACAGTAATATCACTTTTCAACCCACTAGAAGAAACCCAGTGATATTTACTTATATCATTATTAGAAATTATTTTTAAACTATCAAAGGTAACCATCACTCTTTCTTTTCTTAGAGTTTCACCTGCACAACATACAAAGCAAAGGCAATACATTAATTATCATTTGCATTTTTGTTCAGAATATATAAAGATATCAGTAAAATACCAATTAAGAAATGACCTGTGCAATAATCTAGAAAGAGCCATTTATGTCAGGAGGGTGACTGACTTAAATGAGTAACGTTTTTACAAGTCAATCAATCTAGACCAATTGGGGGTTCTGCTCAGTAGCTTTGCAAGTGATAGTAGGAACTGCAGATGCTGAGAATCTGAGATAACAAGGTGTAGAGCTGGATGAACACAGCAGGCCAAGCAGCATCAGAGGAGCAGGAAAGCTGACGTTTCGGGCCTAGACCCTTCTTCAGAAATGGGGGAG